TACTAATCATCCATCTGTGAGCACTAATATGAATAAAGATTCATCATATAATCAGTAAATTAAGTTCAGGGCATGCCTCTCACCACTACACTCATGATGAACTACTTATTGTCAACTGTGTATACAAAGTTCATCAAATTACCACTATTGTCTCATGACAAAAATATATTTATAAACAACAGCACATTTGTTTTGTAGATAACTGTAGCATAATTCTTCCACATGTATTGTTTCCTTTTGAATGTTAATAATGTGGTCACGTAATAAACGTGCCTTTTATACGTTAAGACGTTAATTACTGATAAAAGCAATGCATTTTGGTGACTTTTTAAGACACTTCGTTACACCAGCCTGTGTTTTATTACCATAATTGCACTTACATTTATTCTCAAGTGACCCACGAATCGTTTTTATTCTGAAGTTTCAAATTTTAGAAACAGTAATGACGATTACATTAAAGTTTATATGTTGACCAGAACACGAATGGTCGACGGTGTATACAGACCACAGTTCTCAGGCCTGCTTATAAAATGTATGTTCTGAATAAGTATATTTGTGTTTATTCCTCATATTTGAGTAAGTTCGCATCAGGGACGTCTTAAATGAGCGCGAGTTCCATGTACAGAAATTTAGTCTTTGCACTCAAATCATCGTCATTGTCGGTGCTGTGGCCCACACTTGACCATCTGACCACATCATCTGGAAAGGAATCTAATTATAATATTCCCTTACTTTGACCAATAATTAGCGACAGTTATAAGTGATCGGACATAATAACATGTAAGGTAGACAACAAGCTGGTCTCTAAATGCCTTTAGAAAATACAAACATCATACTCAAATCCGCATGATACCATTAAGCTTAACGGATGATTATTCTATAAAATTCGAGGCATGTAAGATTTAATTGTTGCAATTACCACAGGATTTACATTAACAAGCTACTCAATTAGGTTGGTATGTCATAGCGCACACTGATTATGGAAACATTGGATAAATATGAATGTTAGTAAAACTCATTTGTACAAAATTTGGCGAGATCGTGCAGGTTGTGTTGCGAAAAGAAACTGATAATTGAGAATATATTCAAGCAAAGTTCAGAGTTACCTATAACAAGAAGTAATGCCATAAATGCATAACTAGTAAGTCAAAGACGTCAGCTTTTACGTTATATTTTTTGCTTCCCGATAATGTATTCAGATAAATATCGAAAATATTAGTGAAGGCACAGGTCAAAGTCATATGTTCCATAGATGTGTGTTTGGTGGTATACTACAAGGGTGATAAAAAAGAGATAGAAGAAGGGAAGCGCGAGGTAAATTTTACTTACGCAATTCATGTTGCACGGCCAGGAAATGTCACTAAGCCCTAGCCAAATCATACGACAGTTGGGTCATTCAATATCGAGCAAATCATCTATCCTCGTCAAGGTCGGGGACAATCAACGCTCATCAGTTAGTCGTATGCCATGGACTGGACCATGCGGCATCGGTCTCTTTATTTTGCTTGTATCTACTTTAACTAATATATTTCTGTAATAACGTCCTCTGTGTTGTACAGTCTTCGTAGCATCTCTGGTACCTTGATACGTCAATGGGGTAGTCCACGTTAAGTGCTGACCATGAGGTGTGACTTCGACATTAGTTAGTTTATCACAACATTTACGTCTAACTCAAGTAGGCCTCCAATCATTTCGACATAGATCATCTACGTTGGTGATCTACAATGTCTTTTCTTATACTAAATGCTTCAACTGTAGTAAAAGTAGACTCATAGTAGATTAACAAAATTACTGTTCATTTCGTTACCATGGATGATGAACCCTGCAAATTGGTAGGCGTGTTTGAGTCGTATAACTTTATAGAGTGTCCAGTAAGACTAATGAGATCAGAACCAATGTCGAAGACCTAAAGAACTGTTTATAATAGAAGTTTATTTACTGCTACACATTTATCCTAGTAGTGACAACAATCTATTCATTTCTTATTGGGAAAAAATATCTGATCATTTGACGATTCCACTACGAAATAACTCATCCTCGACATTCAGAGGTTCAAAGATTTAACCGTTAAATATAACCTCCGTCAAAACTTCTTTAATATCAAAATGCTAGTTGCTTTAAGAGACTGTGAGCTGCCGCATCACCGCTGCTTTAATACCGTTATTGAAACTTTAAGTCCTTTAACACCCAGATATAGTACATGTAATGTCAATGGATCAGGAATTGCGACAGTTATATTCACAGCCAAAGAGCGAAGACAAAAGCTCATGGAACTGGAAATACAGCAAGGAAATTTCCAATATAAAGTGACTTCTCAAAAATATAACAGTCAAAACATTTGCGAATTGTCAGGCCGAAATTTATTATTTTGGCACCCAAAATATCATCGTAGTCGAGCAACTTTGTATTGTGAAATCATGTTTGTTTTATGTTAACAAAATCAAGTCACTTATTCACTAACAACTTATCGTTGTAGACTTTCTGTTGATTTGGTCTTTCGGTGATAACACTTGTTTTAGGTGCTGTAACTGTCGTTTGATATCAATGTGCCGATGTTTTGCTTTCGCAATAACAAACGGTTGAAGTTATTGTAGCAATTTTTTCGCTTATCGACAACAAAGTTTCAACATCAATTATTCTACTAAACTCCACAGACTGGCTCGATCATGATAAAAGTGTGGTTGAACTAATAGTTTGTTTTCCGTTACAGGATTTTATTTAGTTGTAACACAGCGGTGCTTTTTCATCTTAAAGAGACTGCTGCTGTAAGATCGAAACACAGTTTGCACGCTAGTACAATACTGGTGGATGGTAATGAACGTTATTGGATCTGGGACACGAGTTAAATTTCATGTCAGTGATAAGGTTGTAGCAATTCTCCGTTTTTTGTTTGCCTACAAAGAAAATCAAAAGTTCAGCGCGTTTGATGGGGTTAAGTGTGGTGAGAATATCATTTGTTCATCCACATACTACAGTACTGATTAAATTACTCAATCATCATCAACGAATGAACAACACTGCAATTAGTTTGTCATTATATTACTTTTGCATTACCCGTAAAGTTATCTTTTCACTGATGAGACTAAAACAACTAAAAGACTTTGAAGGTTGTAACCACTATAACCAATTTCTAGCAAAGAGTGACTTATCTTTCACAAATAAATTACACAAAAATCCGAATAATGATCTACCTATAAAGATTAAACAGATGCAAAATTTTTAAAAATGATAGGTTGTTTCATAACTGTAGGCGTTTAATGGAAGTGCGTCAATGCACGAGCTTGTAATAATTTGTTATACAACTGAAATAAGCCATAGTTTCTTGTGTAGTGACAAGTAGCTCCCTAAAATAACCCTCTATTATCCGAAAACTGATTTTGACCTCGTCCGGTTTAATAGATAATACCGAATGAATGTATTCAATCGAGCGTCGAAGAAGAGTCTAGAAACAGCCCACTAGAGAATCTACCGTTTCATCAGGTGTCCGGTTTAGTGTTCTTAGACATATCCACTTCTAACCGTGTTGAAACGTATCTGTCTATTAATCCTTATTATTTACCTCCTAGTTTACTGCAGATATACAATCCTTTAGTTGTTTTGGATTTGAAAAAAGTTAAGTTCTGTCATGATCCGCTCGTATTCACATATGTGGAGAATAGATGACTGAGGCTTTTCGTCGAGCTGTTAGTTTTATTTTATATCAGCTCGATCACGATAAATCAAAAAAAGGTAGTCAGCAGGCCACGAATCAACGAATGAGGAAAATATGCACACGTGGTACGTTTTCGTTTTCGACCACTAGGTTGTGTAACAGTCATTAACCGGTCAAAGCTAAAATGAGAGAAACGCCAATTTACGATCTATGTATAAATCAAAACTGTATACAATGTAGGAGTGTGGAGAGTAGGCAATATATTTAAATATGGCCTCTCGAAATATCATATCGTGAAAATTCTGCCTCAGTCACCACAAAGAACCTAAACTCTCAATGGAAGGTCGCTCTTGATTGACTCTTCAGAGCGTGATCCCGAAGCTTGTATTAAAAGAAAGCCTAGACACCAGTTTAAACACGATGGTAAACTCAACTCCCCTACTTTATTTGTAGACAACTTCAGAGGTTTTCCCAACGCCGTTTAGAACAAACTTTCTGCCTCTTCTTAAGGTTTACAATGTCATTATGCCTCCTCTCTTCAAAATAGATAGAAATCTCTTAGACCAAGTACAAAGGTGAGTAACCAAGTAGGTGATAGAGATAAAACACAGATCTTCCAAGGACAGACTACTGCACCTACGATTATTATCTCTGAGCTGCAGGGGAACAAGAGGTGATCTGATAATGAAACACAACATATTAAGTATGCCGAATCGCCTAAACACGAACATATTACCAGATCATCACTGATCTCCGTGAGGCAAATAGTGAGCACCAAAGTATGCTCTTACGTTTTTCTATTATAAGTTGCCTGCACTCGAAACTGTCTCTCAGTCAAAGTGATCACATCCCCCTCAGTGGATGGAGACTTGACAAAAACGTAATCACCCATGGATTACCATCCCACGCTTAGAAGAACTTTGTCTGATACATATCAGAGAAATTACCATGGTTATCATTACAACATATCAGTAACTACTTCTTATCTCTCTTATCATTATCTTCGCTTTCGTTTTATTCTTCTAGTTTCGCCCTCTGACAAATTATCAGTTAGGTAAATTAATTATCTATCCTTGATTATAATTATCTTCCCATAGCACGTGAATTCTCACATTATTTTGACATTGCAACCAACTAAATTCCTGTCCGATAGTCTGATATTCGTTGGTGTTCAGAAATCTTGATGTTCTGAGACAAACGTAGTGACTCAACTACAAAATATAATAATCCAACAGTAACTACCACACCGAATAGAAGTAATTCGGTCGAGTCACTGGATTATCGCCTACAAGATTAGAACATAGATATTGGATTAGCCTTTGTTTATCTACCTTAAAAGTCCTAGATACCTAGTACAAGCTGTTTGATTGTTTAGAAATACAAGTTTAAATGTAATTTCTGCTCAGAAGACTCAAAAACTCAAGAAATGTATGGTTATTTTGACATCTGATATCATTCAATCAACGTTTGAGTGATAAGCTTGTTTACAAGGGTGAACCTCATCCACAATGTTTTATTTCGCGGATTAATTATGACATGTTATACGACCATCACTAAGTTAATAAAATTCGAGAACTAGCCATACGGGATGAGTCAAAAGCTAATGCTTGGTTTTCGTTTTGTTAGAACGACTCATGGGGTGACAAATGGATCTCGGAATTATATTGACCAAAAAACCTACTTGAGCTTCCAATTTTGAGAAAATTTTGGGGAAATCCCTAAAGTCAAATGACCTTGACCAAGGTTAAAGGGGAATTCGGGGGATTCCCTCACGTCTGGGGAAATTTTGGGGTTTTTGTGCCATTTTTACAAAACTTACCATAGCGGCCTCCCCAAAATGTGCCAAATTTTCCTCAAAGTTAAGAGCTCGGGTAGTTTTTACAAACATTTTAGTTTGTGAAGTGATAATATAACAGAAATTATTCGTTTATCCAAAAATTAAGATAACTGACCGAAAGTTTATTAGGATCAGACAATATGAACACATTTGGCTAAACAGGTTGTTAGTCCCTGAAACGTAACATTTGGGACTGCCTTTACATTGACATGCTGGCTGCTTCTTTCTTTGCGCTTTGTTATTATCGTCAGCCATCTTTGACAATAATACCTCAGAGTATGTAAATGACTAGATAACTGTTTGTATGATTTTCCTATTATCAGCCATAAATATATGTATGTATATGTGTGGTTGATAGTAATCTACAATCCTATATGGTTGTAGATTTCGAGAAACCACACAGTCTGTGCGTACTCATTTTTTGGCAACAAAAATAAATAAGGTTTAATAACCACTTGAGCAGGGATTTCGCCAGGCGCAGATATTTAGCTAAAATTAGTATTTAACTCGTCTATGAAGCCACATACTTAGTTCATAAAAGCTGATGACTAATACTAAATAATTTAAAAATTAAAGAAAACTATCTTCCAATTACTTTTATCTACATAGTATCAAAATAATGAGTTCAGATATGAAGTCGCCTGGCTTTACTAACTGTGGTTCTAAGTAGAGAACATAAATAAACGACCGAAAATTACTGGACAGTTCCAACTTAACAAGATCTATTGTCTTTTCCTACTGGCTGTTAAGAAATAGCCTATATACTTGATATTAATAATTCGTAATTTATTTAGGACAATATACCAAAGTGATTAGAAGATTTTTCTCATTTTCAAACATTGGTAATACATTTAGTTGTGTTGCTTAGATTCACCTGTTTGTATGAAGAATCATGAACGTGGTTGTGTATTTGAATATAAAACTCCAGCAACAGTTATAAAAATAAATAACTAAATTAACTAATTCATAGCGTAGAACTATGGTTCAAATGGATGATTTCAACGGAATTTTATTTCCTAAACTGAATGGTTTGACTGAAAAGCTCTTATCGTCTTTCTAAACAGCATTCAGGTAAACGATCTAGCAAAACACACATTTAGTAATTTAACTATCTTGCCTATTCTGAATGGATGACTTAGAGGTCGGTTTGTTTTTTCATTTGCTTGTCTTATCTATAATAAGATTTTACTCATGATTGACAAGTACGCAGAAAACTAAGTTATCAATAAATAGACTCAAAACCAAATATGGACAGCATTTTCATTTGAAAGCAAAATATCTTCGGATCACACTACACACTATTTAGTTTGAAGGTTAGCTTGAGCACTATTATTTCCATATTACTAGTTTATGTCTGTGAAACCATTAGGAATACTTGCAGTCTTCGTCATGATAATTTTGGAAAGCACTTTTTCAGTTAAAACAAAACGAAGTAAACACAATACCGTTTACTAAATAATCGCTAACTCCGGAAATGAAAACAAAAATCGAACATTTATATACATACTGAAAGGTGTGAAAGCAGACTAGACATTATGCTGAAAAGGTTAATATTGGAAATTTCTTGTTGTGAAAGCAGAATAAAGAAGATACTTTCTTTCACGAGTCTTTTTTTATGATTTTAGTATTTTCGAACTATATACTACATCTTGTCTGCTTTGTTGACCCTTTCTCATATATCAAAAGTTTGGTTACCATTCATCTGATTGAGTCCTTTAGTCACTTGTTAAATACAACAAAACACCATCTACCTTTTTGCACAATGTTGGACAACATAGAAGTAGGCCAGTGAAAAGCTTCAGTCAAACAAAATATTGGCCCTTATCATTGATTACTGTAATGAGTAACATCGGTAACATTAGACTCCGGAGTTCTTCTTTTTTTGATAAGCGTAATTCATATATCCCGATGTTGAATAATATGGCCTAAATTCCGTATCAGTAACCCAATGAATTCCACTGAAGCAAATACACTTATGTTGTTTATTAATATATGTAGTATACAATGGGTTTACCGACGTAATTTAGTCAGCATGTTAAATCGTTAGAAAGCCTTTTTTTGTTCGAATTAAGTAATGATCAGTAACTTTTTCATTTTTATCACTTAATTCATATTTGTAACAACCTGGTCAGCATGTTTACAGTAAATATTATTCTTACGTCTCCGGAAACGTTTAGAAACCCGTTAATTCACTGTACATATTTGAGATATTGATGTCGTTACAATTCGTGTGTTTTATTGCTTTTTATGTTATAATCTGTGCCTTATTCATTCGATAGATTGCAAATTTTAGTACAATATATAAGTTGAGCATTCTCCCACTGACTATAAATCAATAGAAAAACAGACAAAATGGCACCAAAAAGAAAAAAGAAAACCGGGAAACTAACAAAAATGACTGATGAAGAAAGAGCGATTTTCCTTGAACAACAAAGAGTTGCTGAAGAAGAACTAAAAACAAAAAAGATGGCACTGTTAACTCAATATCTACAAGTCAGTTTTTAATATAATTCTTTTCAATTTGAAAACTAACGACTGTTAATATAGGATAAACTTAATCATGAAGAAAGGTTTACTAAACTTAATAAAGCAAAACTGACACATTATTGGCGAACTATTATGAGAGAGACGAAGTCAAAAGAATTGAAAAGAACTATAGAAATATTATCACAAACATTTGAAAGAATTATGGACCGGTAAAGCGTCAATGTCTTAAATTTTTTATCAATTTGTTTGTTCAATATTTTTCAAAGAAAAGAAAGTATCATCAAAACACTTGTTGCGGATCTTAGTGAGGCAGATGAACAGCATTTGATGGCTCTGCGTTCTCATCTACAGAATGTAGATATTTTAATAGGTAGATAGCGTTTTTCATTTGACCTAAAGAACTTATACTGGTTGACTATTTCATCATGACCTGTATATCACACCCAACAGTCTTTTTGCCCTTGAATTTGTTGCTTGCATCGGTCGATTAGATAGTCTTGGATGAAAGATATGAATACTACTCGAAAATATTTGACTCGTGGTAATAAAGCTTTCCAGGTTGCAATAATAATAATCTCACGTATAAATGAAAAGTAAGAGGAACGTATTTGTGGCATTCAAATCAATTTAATCTGCTAGCGAGAAACGTCTGTCAATTTACGATGCAGCGCCTTACTACTTTTGGGACTCGCTAGTATATTAATCAATTCTACTAACTACTCTGTTGTGAGGATCGTATTCTATAGAACATTACTAAGCAGATTAATAAAGGAAATCGTAGTGAACTTTTGAATAAATATCCGAGAATTTATTTATTTATTTAAAATTTAACCATACAATATAGTTCAATCAGTCAACTTTTTAACAGGATTTCTTTGCGTAATAACCATTCATGTAACAATTGATTATCCGATGAGATATCAATATTGCGGTATAGTTGCATTAAATCATATTTACTATCATTATCACGATGTGATATATTTCACCAACACTATTTGGATTATGTAATGAGTAGCTGAAGACATTGTTGCTCATCAGTGATGTTTATCATTATCATGAGTAATTCATTATCGTCAACCATTTGAACATCCATTTCGCTAATAATAGTCAGTCATCACTATACTATTTGTGGTATGGATGAAGAATTAAGCTATAAAATCAGGTTTGCACATTGGTTGTCATTGTTAGATAGATATATTCAAAAATACTATATTTATATGCAGGCAAATAAATGGGCGTTATGCTAAACTGTAACGTATTATTGGTTTGTTGGTTATACTATTGCAATTAATGGTTGTCATTTGGTTGACGTTCATTTGTGACAATTCGAACTTTTACTGGTTATCAGTAAAATTTCAGACGTTTTTGATGTCATACAAGTTACAAACAAATCACAAGGTAGCCACTAAAAATTACGGTTTGTGGTAATAAAAATTCATAATCATGCACAGTTGACGACTGGAACTGAAAAACACCTTGTCTGTATAACAAAAGTAAATGAAAGTATTGTGAAGGAATCGTAGAGGGGAATTCATAAACTAATAACAAAAATGAAAAAAACCGTTGGCGGTCATAGTTCACGTAAGAAGTACATAAACCTTGCGAAGGCTCTTTACTCGAACACCACCAGTTGAGTCAGAGCCTATGGCGAACTGTCATCTGCTTTTGCAACCTCAAATGGTGTCCGTCAAGGCTGTCCACTACCTCTGTATTTTGTTTAACTTCATCATAGACCGACTGATGGAAATAACGTTCACGTCGACTGAATGATCGGGTATTGAACTTGATATGATACAAAGAAGAGTCAATTTTCGACTGATTTACTCGTTATGAGTTTTGTTCAGCATTACTTTCCTTCTCATTCAATGTGATGATCATTCAGTGTAGTATTTGATTTGTTTTTCCAGTATGATATTTTCTTCTGCACAATATACGATATTCTTGTATTCATCTGACATGAAGTATGCTCAGTAAGTGATTTGTTATAACTGAGTATGTGATTTGATCCTACCTATTAATCAAAATGGGAGTACAATCAATGTATAAACCAGTGTATTTTAGACTATATTGATTCGTCGTCGTCATAATGTTTTTGAGCTAATAAATTTTCACTTATACCAGTCTTTTCTTCTTACCTTCGCATCGTGGGAATTGCCGAGGTCCCTCACTCCGAGTATAAGTGATCAGCGTTTTTCCGGCACAGCAATCAGCGACGACCGAATATAACAAATTTCCTCCCGTGAGGCTCGCTTATCGACTTAGAATACGCAGATGACATAGTCCTTTTTGGTGAAGACGCGGATAAAATGCAATCTTTTGGTATCACTAAGCAACAATGCCAGAATATTTAGAACGCGCTTCTCTCCCTCTAAATGCAAGTTGTTGCTTCAGGACTGGTCTGCGTCAACATCTGAGGGATTGAAGTAGTCGAACGCGTCGATAACTTCAATTATCTTGAAGGTCTGTTCAACACTAATTGGTCGGTGTCTGACGAAATCTCAGCACGGATTCAGAAATCTCTTTTAGCTCTTTCCAACTTACATCACCTATGGCTAAGGAGAGATACCCGTTTATCAATTAAGGGATGAGTATAGGGTGAGACAGTTCGTCCTGTTCTACTTTACGGCTGCGAAACGTGGGCATTAAGAGTAGAGAATACTCGTAAACTACTAGTATTTGATTACAGATGTCGTAGAAATATTGCTCACACCTTCTGGGATCAGTGGGTAAGTAATGGTGAGGTTATACTCAGAGTATTAGGGTATGATGGTAAGTCAGTTGATGAGGTTGTGAATCTTCACTGACTGAGATGGTTAGGCCACGTGTTGCTTATGCCTGAACACCGATTACCACGACGTGCAATGCTAACCGGTGTTGCGGATGGTTGGAAGAAGGTTAGGGGCGAACAAACAAAAACGTGGAATCAGTTCATAAAGTCATTAACTTCGAATCCGAGCCATGTCGGTAGATGCAGACTACTTGCTTGGGGTCCGCGTGACTCTCGTAACCAATGGTTGGAGACTCTTGGTGACATCGCTTAGAATCGATCACAATGGTTTATGTGTATATACTCCCTGTCTTCCCTTAAACTATGAGATTAAATCGCCTCATATCTTCCTTTCTATGTACTAGAACTTTCTTCCTGTACTATATCCTGATATGCAATCTTTCTTTTACATATCACCAACATTGACCCAACTACTCATATGGATCCGGTGTTCATCTTGATGTGCTAATGCGGTATGGCAACTTGGACCGATGCACATATGTGCCTGGTCCTACGTTGTAACTGACTGACTGATAGTTCACGTAAGAACACTGTGTAGAAATTTTTTATTCAAATATGTGTATTTCTTGTTAAAACACAAAATAAATACACAGCAAGATACTGGATTCTTTTCATTTCGATATTTAGCAATATTTCAATCAACTATCTAGAAATTATCGATTTTCCAACAAATGTCAACCTTACCATTACACCCTCTATATTTACCATAGGTTGAAAGTACTTCTAAAGAAATACGAACTCAAAGATATTTTATGAATATAGGTAAATTGATTAAACAAAGGTCGTATTTGCTAATTGGTCTCGATTACTGATAGTTCCAGTCTTACACAAAAGACAAAAATCCTCTTCTGGCAGCCAACAAGAAATCAGGTTGACTAATATAATGTCTAAAACACCAACGCTTAACTAGGCTCGTGAAGAGCGAACTTGATGAAATCATGTTGGTTTTAATACTGGACATGGATGTGTAGACTAAACATTCACTCTTTGCAAGATTGTGGAACACAGACATACCTAACAACTTCCATCCCTAGTTGTGTTTCTCGGCCTTAAGGCAGTGTTCTGCTCTTTAAATCGACAAGTTATATTAGCATTTACTATCATTTAAAGAAAAACGTCAACATTATCTGGAATTCATATGGTGGATTACAGTGCAAAGTGGTGCATGGAAGACAGCTGACGGATGCTTCCCAAGTAAGGGCCAGAGCCAAAAAAGACTGTCTACTCTCCCCTTCCTCTTTCTTCTGGTGGTCGATTGGATTATGAAGACTTCGACGTCTGAGAGAAAGCACGGAATATAATAGACAGCTCGGAATCAATCAGATTTAAATTTTGCGGATGACCTGGCCCTTCTATCCCATCTCAATTGATTGATCACTGGGTGGTGACCAATGTCATGCTTGTCTAGTCCTTATTAATGCAGATCGAATGCTATCGATCATGTTGCAATTTGGCCACCAGTCTAGGTGACTCGACACTGCGGGCACTATGTATTGATATTTAGATGGTAGTTGGAAGTAGTCAACAGGAAACCCTGGACCCGGGTTTCGTGCTACTTGGCACTCGTCAGCAAGGTGTACCTGCAATCTTGAGGGAACTGATGCTCCCTGGCGGATTCGATCTCGTGTCACCCAGCTTCACAGTCAGAGATGTTATCACTGAGCTATCCGAGCCGTGACTAACCTCCTGTAGGACTGAGATGTAATCACAATTGATTGATCACTGGGTGGTGATCAATGTCATGCTTGTCTAGTCCTTCTATCCCATACACATCAACAAATGCAGATAAAAACAACTAATATAGCAGCAGCCTCTCTATCATTAGGCCTCAGCATACACAAGGGAAAGAGCAAGATCCTCAAATACAATACAGAGAACACCAACCCAATCGCACTTGATGGAGAAACTCAGAAAGAGGTGGAAACTTTTACGTACCTGGGTAGTATCATCGATGAACAAGGAAGGATCTGATGCAGACGTAGAGGTGAGGATTGGCAAAGCAAGAACCTCATTCATATAGTTGAAGAACATATGGAACTCAAAAACACTGTCAATCAATATCAAAGTCAGAATCTTCAATGCGAACGTCAAGATAGATCTACTGTACGGAGCTGAAACTTGGAGAATTACCGTAACTATCATCAAAAAGGTACAAGTATTTACAAACAACTTTCTACGTAAGATTCTGAATGTCCGTTGGCCGGATACCATCAGTAACAGCCTACTATGGGAGAGAACAAACCAACTTCGAGCTGAGGAGCAAATTAGAAAAAGACGTTGGAGGTGGATAGGACACACATTGAGGAAATCATCAAAGTGCATCGCGAAGCAAGCGCTAACTTGGAATCCTAATGGGAAACGAAAAAGAGGAAGTACAAAAAGCACACTGCATCAAGAATTGGAAGCAGATATGAAAAGGATGGACAGCAACTGGAAAGAACCGGAAAGGAATGCCCTGGACAGAGTTAGATGGATAATGTTTGGGAGTAGCCTATGCTCCTCCATGAGTGGTAAAATGCATAAGTCAGTAGTTCAGTATCATTTAAAGATGTATCAAAGGAATATATTACTTTAGTCAAAGTTTTCTCGAATATTATAATATTGGATCAAAGCATGTAGGAAACTTCCATCGTAATTGATGATTTCAAGTGCCACAACGATGTACACATGTGCAAGGCTTTACAATAGGTTGGAATGACTTCGCAACATCGTTCATCAATAGAAATACCTAAAGTTAGGTGACATATAGTGTCAGCACGGTTTTCTTCTTCAGCGAGAAATGTAAGTACATTCTGGATATTCACAAAATTCTCCAGCATTCATTTTATAAAATTCGCTAGCACATACTTCTATAATGAATCTGTATTCATTCCCTTACAAGATCAGTCGTCCAATTAAGTCCTTCTCATTGAGTAATTAATGGTTAGGAAAATACTAATGACTGATTCGATTTTGTAGCTGTCTTATATAAAACAGCTTAATAAGGTGGAATTTAACATGCTTTATTTCAATCAATATGAGATAAGGAGTTGATGATCATTATTACGTAACTATAGTGGTACTTAAACAAGAGTTAATAAAATAATTTTGTCCTATTTGTTAGATGTAATCAATTTTCTCACTTCATCTTTCTTATGAAAATTAGATTTACAAAATCAAAGATTACATAAATTAAAAACTAATTATGAAAAGGAATTGCACTCTTTGGTAGAAGAATTCTTAAAAGGTAGATCGTATATATATATATATATTCTGTATTTAAAACTGTTCAAATAACATACTTTTCCGCAAATCAGAAGAAAACTTTACTAAGCAACAACACGATAAACAAGTCAATGACTTAAAAGATATATTTGTTGCACTGGATTCTACATATACTGCCAAAGCACATGAAGCTGTAATTGATCAGACTAGTTTGAAGGATGATCTGAAGAATAAAGTAAGTCAATTGATATTTCTATGAATTCTATTGACTTTGAATTTAGGACTTTAGATATCACTCACGTTACTAAGACATTAAATTAAAAATACAATTTACTTGAGCTAGAATCCACAATTTTTCATCCCAGTACAGCTAAGTAATGTGGTTATATCCGATTTAAACTGACATGAACTTTTAGGTAACGTATGTTTTGGTTAGTTTTAAAAATCCCCCTACTCTCACGCTTAAAATCAAACAACAGAAGGTTAGACGAGTGATAACATTTATCTTTACCATCCAGATTTCTGGTTGTATAAGTACAATACCAAGGTATAACATTCAGCTTTTAAAAATCTTTATTCATGCATAACTAGGACATTACTTTTACAAAGCTCTGTAACATTAATTATAATTAAGTGACTTTAGTTGATAAAGTATAGAGGATATTACAGAAATAACCAAGTTGAGCGTTTGTAGTGGAATCATCGAGTGAGTAGTGATAAAGTTGCCCAGAAAGATTCAGATAAAGATGAATCGGCTGATAAAATCATATGCAACGGTGATCATGAAATTGATTGAGAGATGTGATACTGTGACGTGTACTGCTTATATCGACAGACATAAGTAGTATGTAACATTGTTTTGTCACTGTACTCCACTTTAAAATAATTAGCGTAGGCCGAAGAGATTTACATTAAGCTAAACAAGTGAAGATTAATTAATGCAAAATGGGAGGCCACCAGGCCACTAACTGTTGATATGAGTTAAGCATGAAAGTGGAGGTTTACTTTCATCCTGACGTCAAAAATAAAGGTTGAAGACTGTTAGTTGTATTGTCGAAAATAGACTCCAGATCCTTATTTATTACGTTCTCCGCCTTTAAATTTTAGTTTTATGCACATATATAATGTCTACTCATATATTATTCATCGTTTGGTTTTTAATCCTAGAGTGTTCATTAATTTTTTTTTGAGGATAATATTTATCATGAGCTGATATCAGTTATAGGGTTACTGAAGACTAGTGGGTAAATGAAGAGATATTTCGCGTAACTTAGAACTCTCGATCAATGTGAACCAAATGGTGCTACATAGAATCGATCCTAGGACCTTCCAGCTTCACAGAGAGAATTTTATTTATACACCTGAGTTAGAATTCATTGGTTTAGATATTCAACTTCTGTGAATTTTGACAGTGTTATGCCCAAATAATTTTGTTGTCAAGGTATCACTTCACTGCCGATACGGTTGACTTCAAACCCTATGATGCTAATTTGTGTGGATTTTATCTCTTTTCTAATTCACTGTCATCCACAAGCTTGATTAAACTTCTGCTACGTAAGTTATGTTACTTAAATTTGTTATATGTAGTAAACAATGATTCGCATATATTTTTCATATAGAGTTTGGAGGAAAAACATACATTGAGAATAAATTTGGAGAATAAGGTCAATAGTTTGTGGTCTGAATTCAAACAGGCTTCCACTCAATACACGACAACTACCAATGAAAAAAAGACATCTTTCGAAAACTTAAAAGCAAAAGATGAACGTTCAGCTGCTGAAATTCAATTACACTTAAACAAAATCCAAAAAATCAATGATAATATATCGGCTACTAGACGTCGTATGTTAAAAACATCTAAGGAATATGAAGAAAAAAATCGCAACTTAAAAGAAGAACGTGATAAGTTAGTTGTTCGATTCCAAGTCTTGAAGATACAAATCAATAAATTACGTGATCTACAACATGAAAAACTGGTTAAAATGTCAGTTGAAAGTGGGGATGCTATAAAAAAGGTAACTGAAAAATACTAATTGTTAGTATTTCTTATGAAACTACGTAGTCATGAATAGTAGATTTTTTAAAATTCTCATTTATTAGTGTTAACTGAAATTCAAGACAGTTCAAAGTAAATGACTGCCTAGCTTATTCTAATAAGAGGATGGATTCAATCACAGTTAGCATCTCAAAGAGGGAATAAGCTACTATGAAATTTAAAAATGAAAGCTTAGTGAAATCAATGTAGTTACATATTCAGTTTTTACTTGCTCTTAAACGTTTGTACTGTAAATGAATTCATGTAATTTCTAAAAAAATTTAAATACAGGTTCAATGTTTATTGGAAAAAGCAGAGAAAATTATTAAGTTAGGTGAACAGTGCAGAAAGTATGAGACAGAAGAGGAAAAAGTTACACCATTCTATTCATCATCTTTATCAGCGGAAGAAGAAAGTGCTGTGCAAGAATCGTTCGAAAAAGAACAGAATGAAGAGATGATGAAGGTGATATGTTTTTAAAATTTCCTTTGTTTTATCAGTTTTCTTACTTTTCGGTTTGAATATATATATCAGTTAGAGCAGTTTATTTTTTAAATGATATTCAGCTGGTCTTTTATCGTTTCATCTTTTGGTTTGCATAAAATTGAAGTGCTCCTACTGGCTTGTGACCAACGCCTATTCCCAATGCAATTGTGACTTTCTTTATTTTCTGCATATGTGGCAGGATAATTCGTTTTTTAGTTTCAATATTCGATCTTGTACTTATTGATGGAGTTGATAAACATAATGGCTGTCCTGTTGAAAAGATCGTTTTATTTTGTTCCTTATATTTTGCGTGGTAGTTATACTGCTATGTCTTCGCTCTTCCGAATAGCAAGTTTGTATGCAGTTGTTTCTGATCAACTTAGAATTAGTGCAGCATAGGTTGGTTTATGATACACAAGAGTCTCTGGTTTCCTTGTGTTGATTCTGGTGATCAACACATCTAAGAAGACTAGTCAGTTGTTTGCTTTCTTTTTAAAGATGAATTTTCTATCATCAAGTATGTTATCGATCAAATTATAAGCGTCTTCGAGCTTAGCTATTAAACCAACCAGGTCGAGAAAACGTAGCTTCAACAAAAATCATCATCGTGAATTAGAAAATCTTCACCTTCATCTCACATGTTTTCTTTTCAAAAAGCTCACATATGTCAACGGAGAACAACCAGTTTAGATGAGCAATTATTTCTGTGTGGAAGTTTTTAATTATTTTTAGCTAATAAATTAATTTATAATAATATTCTGTTTTATTTTTTGAAAATTTCAGATATTAAAACGATGCCTTCCACTTGAAATGTTTTGGAAAAGATTTAATAAAGTTCAATTAGATCGTTTAGCAATAATTAAAGAATACAATATGTTAGAACAAGAAAACATTCAATTAAAATTATTATTGAAACAATATTTAGACGGTATATCAGTTAATAGTGAAGTTATATCTGGTGATAATTCATTAATTGTTATAAATGGACGATCAAATTTAAAGTGAGTTTTATAAATCTGATAATATTAACCCTTAATGGATATTTGTGTTCTGCTTAAGTGATTATTGATTATAATGTTCTACATTTAAGTGTTATAGCAACTTAATTAGTAATTGAATCTTGTTACCAAAGTTTTAACGCACAGAATAGTTTATTACTCTTACTATAAAGTCCAAGCCTGTTGTAAAATGTTTGATAGTAGCGTCTTTATTGTCCCTTATCATCACAGTAAATCTAGTACTCGAAGTATACGCACCATTAATTACAGAAAATTTTCACTTTTATAGGATGTCTGAGACTGTACCAAAAAAATCAACTGATATTTACTCGTAAATACTCGAAATAGATTTCCGATAGATCACGAATATGTTCGCCGTCTCATACAGATAGTAGTGAAAACCAACATCACCAACGGAACTGGAATTTTCTATCGATGACATTTTGACACATGAAATTGATATGGGATGCAAAAGTGTTACCTCACATCATTTCCTTCAGTATTCCATAATTTAACATAAGATGCAGTGTAATGCAGTAACTATAAACCATATTCTGTTTCTACATAAAAATCCAACCAATATAATCCTATGTTACAATCGATGAATTTCTAACGATTACGGTTATCCCTAATTAATTTAGTATACCTGCAAAAAATGACATATTTTCTCATTAATATTTTTTTCGTGTTTCTTTATTTTCTTTTAAAGACACATGAGCATAATAGATGATCCACGAATTAGATTGATATCTACTGATGATGATAGTGTACAGCCGAAAGAAATGATAAACTATGCTACTACTCCCGCCGCAGTTGACTATCGAATAAGACAGACAACTTAGACAAAAAGATTCTACAACAAGAATAATATAAAATCCAAGGCAAGACATAACAATGATGAGGATTTTATGTGATTTACTATATGCCTACAAAGTAATTCAATGCTGAATCAAATTAAAGAGGTGGCTGATATAGAAATACATTGTTCATAATAAACGTTTTGTTTCTCGTTGAAAGATTTATTCAGTTAACTGATTACCAAACAGATAAGCTTTAAGGGAAACCAATGCTATAAATATTATAATACTTTTATGGCATTTTAATTGACTGAAGCAGTTAGGGCATATTTCAGGCATGGATAACCACCGCTTTCGTCGATGCGATTTTAGATAGCATAGTAGTTGGTTGCGAAACGTTTAGGGACAACTGTATCATGAAATTATATGGATTCACACAGTCTGTTGTAATATGTTAAAGTCGTCTTTATTAAAGATTTTTTGGTGTTAATTTGAAATGCGACAAATATTCAAAGTTAAAAATCTTTGAGTCATACATTTGTCTATTCGACAATACAGTTTATGATGTTCACAGATCTTCAAACTGCTTGAAAGAGAAAACAACTCGAGGTGCATAATTACTAGCTGTTTCTTGGTTTGTATGCAACAATTGGAATTGACCGTTGTCTTAATCGACATTGAAACATGAGATCTTTCTGTCAGTACGTCTAAGTATCACTACGTTACAACAGGCATATCAAGCTGAGTGTAATACGGTTAACTGGGTCCTTTCATACGAACCTAAGAATTGTCTGAAGTCAATGAATAAAATTTGAAAGAAACTACATTCAGTCTCCTTAGATCAGTCTTATGATTTATTTGGATAAGAAAGAAATTGAATGCTCTTATGATAACTGAACAGACAGAGACTGACTAAACACTTCGATCTACAGGGAACTATTTAAATTAGTCGTCTTACTTGAGAAAATCTAAAATAATTGGTGACTTCTCAGTTCTCAATGAACGTGAAGCGATCAGAATATCATCAGTTTTAAGCATAGAATCACACTTTCCAAGAATACACAATGTTTGGTGATAATAGTTTGATTATGTAATACAGTATGTAGTTTCAGGAAACTACGGATACCACTATGTAGGATCTATCCACTGAATAAGACAGTATTTTTATGGGTTGGAAATGAAGATGAGTCAAAAATGCACCTAAAAAACAAGTCATACAACCTAATTAGAAGTATAAAAATACAAAAACATAGGTCTTCAATATTTTCATCATCAGCCTCAACAGTTCATAAATTCATAATTTTACGATAGTGGTCGAAGTAAAACACACAAAAATAAGTTGTAAGTGAATTACACAATTTTACATATTAAAATAGTAAACCTTTACATTGACCACTTCTCAAATACGTCCGAAATTTCCCAATAATTGAAAAAAAAGAAACACTTTTACTGGTCAGAAATTTTATAAAAACTAATCACTTCATAAAATGCATAAATATGCAAAGAATATACATGAGATCATCACATAAAAAAGTACACATTCACAAATGTTAACGTAATCATTCTTACTATATCAGATAAAATGAAGAGAATAAAGACATACATATATCACAGTATAGATACTTTGAAAACATTTCTGCAATTATTGAATACTACATTTTACTCATAATAATTAGTATTAATCGAGTAGCATAGAAACTAATAACGAACAAAATGCTAATAGTTAAGCGGTATATAACAGTTCCTCACTATTTACACATGTTCTGTATATACATATTTTTTTAATTAAATCACAATAATAACAAGAAAAATAAGTGAAAAAGAGAGGATAGAGATAATGAAAATGATATCGGAAAAATAAATTATTTTTACAATTTCTTATTTGTTTGAAATGAATAAAGGAAACAGATGTTCTAAATTAATCCACACCTCTAAACGTGCTGGACAATGTGTAACATCTGGTCGACGATATGATGGTCCCCAACCTTTACCTAAACTTATATGTATAATCGGATTTTTGCATAGATTGTTTTCTTTTGCCCACAAATGAGTTTTGTGCAACTCGTTAAAATCTACATTATTACTATTATTGTTATTACCACTTAAATTACTGCTGTCGCCATTATGGTTGTTACCGGGATACTGACGACAAGATGATGATGACGCTGAAGATGATGAAGAAGACTGTTGTTGCAACCAGTTTTCATAACATGAAAGGTCGAAAACTAATAGAGAATAACCGGCTGGTACACGATATACGGGTCTATCGACAAGAAAGTCTTCAGTACTACTATTAAGCGATGAAGAAGAAGAGGAAGAAGAATTAGCATTATGAAACTGCAAACAAGGTGATGATACAAATATAGGTAAGTTTGTAGCCATCGCTTGATTACTTAACCATACACAACCATAAGTGGTAAGTGTAAGCGAAATTCCCTGGCTGCCTAGACGACAACATTGTCTCCAACCAGAAGATGATTTATACATTGATGAATGAACAATTAAATTTGGTATTAGAGATGCATTGTTGAATGAATCCACATAATTATAACACTTTTTGCATTGTTTTGAAGATGATCTGATGATACTACTGTTATTACCAATAATCCTATTCGTATGACAAGCGATATAGGGAGTGGTCGAATAATTCTTGAGTTCATTAAAACTTCTATTACAATTTGATTTACAATTATATTTTACATGATTTGATTGATATAAAGTTAGTAAAGATAAATATATATAATCACTTTGAGGTTTACTTCTATAATTTGAATGATTTTCCTTATGTATATATGCTTGTTTCGGAGATGAATACAGCTTGTCCTTTACATCACTATTATTATGGTCATCATCAATTATATTAACATCATTGTAGACAATATTTAATTTACGATTTGTAATTTGATACCATCTACGTCCAACATGATGATGTGATTCCCAATAGGAAATATTTGCCCATGGTTTAAGATGGTGTAGAGGAGAGGGAGAAGAAAGACGACTATGTAGATAAGATTTCTCATTATTTATTGTAACAGAATGATCGCTGATAGAAATAAATTGGTTAAAATGTAGATTAGAATTTTGTAAAGGGTTATCATTTTTAGGGTTGTTAGAAGATAAGATGAAACTACAACTATGCATTTCATCATCAGAACTACTTACAGATGTGGAAGTAGTTGCTGTTGTTGTTGGTGAAAGCAGTGTTGTATGATTGAAATCTGTGGATGGAACCAAGTAAGTAGATAATTTAAAATTTCTATTGTTTCTTAATTTCTTCCATTTGGTTAAAGATGAAACTGGACTTACTAAATTCATGTGCAATTTTTGTTGTATTTTATGAAGAAACTGAGGTGAACAGTAAGTCAGTTTTGTTTTTGCATAGGTATCATGATTGGCAAGCAACGGAGCTGAAGAATTATTTATAATTGGATCATATGATATAACTAAAGAATTAAAATCAAAAATACAAATATTCATGAATGATGCGTAAAGACTTCTTAATGAAACTTTCAAAAGCGAATGGATAAAATTTTGGTCGTACTAAGGTCAGGAGTGAGAAATTAAGTCAAAGCTGAAAACATATATATCATACATCTTTAGCTATCGCCTACTCGAATGAGCTGTTTAATATGATGGAGTGGTGGTTTAGTGGTTAAGACGTTCGACTTTCAGTTGTTAAGCTCAAGGTCCGAAACCCCTTCATCTAATCCAGTTTCAGTAACCACGTGGCATTATTAACCTTCACACTTAGAGAGTGGCTCGTATCCAAGTGTCTAGCGAATGCAAGTCAATTAAATCGAACAAAACCAGAAAACCTATCTGGAGCATAAGGTGATAACAACCAACCCTTTAGAGAAAACCAGGATATCTTGAAACTGTGGTTTGATTATTAATTGGATTAAACACTTAGTAGTTTCACCATTTTGCCTCCAATCATTGGGCTGTAAGTTTAAATTACATTAAAGCTCTGCTTATGGTAGCTGGTTAATATTACTAACCTTATTAGACAAAAAATATGGCTTAAAGTCAATTACATAAAAATGTAATTTGGTACCTATTTGCGTAAATTAATGATGGATTACTCTTCAAACAACTGGAAGGATCATATTTAAAAGGGAAGCTATATGTACAAGAATTATCCTTCCACCTGGACAAAAACTGTTACCACCAAATTGTAATACAAGCCTGAACTGAGAAGCCATTTTTTAACCAGTGATTGTTTACCACAAAAGATACCATATTAACGCTATTCCGTATTTATTTAAACCATTGACATATCTATATATTCGGCTTTATAAACGTAATAGTGTATTCTTTATCTTGAACAAAATTTGAGGTATCCTAAACTGTGAACTACTGATGTTAGTTGTTTTTAATATATCGAAGTGCGATTGTCAAGACACTGCAGTATTACAATACGTGTTAATCGATAGTTATCATCGATACAGCAGCAAACAGCAAGAATAAAATGACATGTAAATGATCATGAAAACATACGGTTTATGCCGAATATCAAAATTTTATAACCACGATTTAATAATCCTCAGTACCATCAAGTTATGTAAGCAAATCGCTTTCGATATGGTTTGAAATATTGTGCATTCATTCCATAGAGAAACTAACAATATAGGCAAAATTTTAACAATAAAGTAGGTGTAGTACATACCACCACAAAATTTACAACAAACTAGAGCATATATATGTATATCACCCTACCTGAATCACATGACTGATCCATCCGAATTAATGAGATTTGTGTTTCTGCAGATGTCGATTCTGTTGACGATGAGGAAGATGATGACGACGAAGATAATACAGACGGTGGTAGTAATAATGGCATCATATCCTTAGGATATTCTGAATCCGTATTCAATCCCTTAAGATGAGATTCATGATTACTACAATTTGGATGATTATGTTTCAATCCCAGACAAACAATATCTGTAAAATTGAAGGAATGAAATATATTAGCGAAATGATTCGATGTAGTGAAAAATTTATTTTATGTAACTCAGCAAGAAGAGAAGTCCGCAACTCTCAGCTACTTCTTTTGTACAATATTAACTGACTTGTTAAGTGGTTATTAATAGACATAACCTTTAACATTCATTGAGATGTCATTAGTAGTCAAACTTCATAAGTTAATATTCCCAGAAAACTACACTGAATACATTAACCTAAATGATATCAGAGGCTCTGATCGTGAAAATTAAACCTTGAATAATAACAAAATTACAAAAATATTCCAGAGATAATTGGTTTTAGTTACATATTAGACATTTCACTAGATGTCCAATGAATTCACTTATTATATTATACTAAATAAAAAGATAAACAAAACCCATTATTACTTTATGATTTGTGTAATCTTCATTTAACAAAATGTCTTGTGTACGCAATCCCAATTAAAAATTACAGTTATTCCTACTTAGAACAAATATGACCCAATAATAAAGTGTTAGGAAATAATCAAACGAAGCAATTAGAATCTCTACTTAAGTATCATATAATTGCGTAGTCAAGCACATTTCAATACACTTAGTTTCAAGTATATACTAAAACTATTACACACCTACTTGTAAAACGAGATGACAGAAAAAAATCACTAAGAGAAAATAAAACTAATGACAAGGAACGCGGAGAAAAACAATAGTTGAGTTAAACAGAACAAGAATAAAAGTCCATATCTATTGAGAAAAATGGGAAGATACATATAAACTACTGTGATGTATTTTTTTACACTCAGTTAAATCTTATATACGTTTAAATCAATCAGCAAAACAGATCTGTAATTATCCTTTAAAAAAAATGTAAGTTTATATCTAAACATCACACTGAGTAGTAAGGTTTTCTAAATTATAAATAGAGTGTACATGAAATATGTATAATTGTAATACAAAACTATTAATCAAAATAAAGTGATTACAAATAATAAGTGATAGTAACTTTACTGTGTGATTAAGAGAACGGTAAACTAATCTATACTGAATTAACTTAGAGAATAAGACGAATTCTCGCATTGTGTAACATGAGTAGATACATATTACGAACTCTGTAAGGTTACAGTCTAAATTACAAATAAATTTCAGAAGTGATACTTGTCGCAAATTGATATCAGTTTGGGTATTAGCGAGAACCGGAAAGGTTTCAATACCCGTCTTGTCTTAAAATAAGACTCCCTAGGTATGCACACCAATGACTCTATCGAGGATAGAAACCAGGACCTTGTAGTCTCCCAGTGAGTGTGATACTTTTAGGTTAGTGGGATAGGAAACCAAGTGGTTTACCTTTATAACTTCGGATAATCGTATATGTATTGATGACAAACTTCGAAATGAGTCTCCGAGGTTCTATTCGAAAGTTGTAGGCTATGGAGACTGAGATAGTCATAACCGACAGGATTGCATAATTGTCATTCTATATCGCGAAATGATCGGGGCTATTTACGTAAACCACTGTATTTTAACTCAGTGGTCTAAGACTAAGGAGATCAGTGCAAGACCTAAAGGTCCTCATTTTTATCCCTGATGGATTAATTGTTGCAAACTTCTAAGGAGACCTAAAAGACGACGAAGTCGCTGTCGATTGTCCCCTCGTTTATAATGATAAACCAATTGATGTAAGTTCGTTATGAAATTGTTTTACATACCAAAGTAATTTTCATAAAACTAAATCAAACTTCAAGTGTAAAAGGGGTGGTTAAGTTGTCGGAATCAAAAATAAGAACGACTCATATAAAGGAAGCATACCTAGGACAAATGCATTTCAGCAATGCAAAAGTACTTACTCTACTAACCTTATTAAAATTCTGTAACCAAACACAAATTCATGGTCTAAATTTTGATTTACGGACTGTTTACACTGGAATAGGCAAAGGAAGCTTCGAACTTATTAAACAACTCTCGTATACATAGACTTATGAATAATCACTCCAAATAGAAGACAGCAGCACAACCGATAACATTGTTAATGACTTCAAAAGACAACGTACGGACACAAAAAGAGTCCAAATTACTTTAGATAGTAACATTAAATATTGAATTCTTTCAATTAGATCATAGTTGGATAAACTTCCAGAGCTTGAAATTATCAGGAAAGCTCAACTAACTCATCAGTAAACATATATTACCATACAAAAAATACGTTATGTATGTTGTATTCGTAACAGATTCATCTCAGTTGGTGTATCATTTAAAACCACAGCGCACTGAATAATTGTTTTGTTATGGTATAGAGCATTTCGCCAGTTTGTATCTACCATGTCGTAAGGAACAGAAACCAGGGCCAGGAGTCCCAAAAGTAAACATCAAACAACTAGAACCAATTGATATGGATCCTAAACGAATATCGATTTTGGACGACGAAACCGCCAAATGGAAACAACCTCTTCTACAAAAGCATTTCAACTAACGTCTTCTGTTATTAATCATTAAAATGAGAAATTCACTAACAAATCTGAATGATTATTATCATTAGAAAAACTACAGGTAATTAATTCGCTAGTGTAAAAATGCAAACAACTCTGTTAGATTTCATTATTAATTCACTGATGCTTGAAAATTAAAACAATTATTGAAAAGGACACTCCGAAAGCAGTCAGATTACATCACGGTTACACTAAAATAAAAGGTTGACCATTATTTGGCTTTTTAACATAAAAGCTGTAATACGTACAGGAAAAATTAGTTGACATTGATTCTATTAAACTCTATATAGAGTATAAACGATATGTATGGAATCATTATGATATAGAAATAACTTTGTTTTCTTTAGAACTGGTTGTTGTGTTCTGTTATTACGTGAATGAAAAGAGCTAACAACAGAAAAAACTGACTCATACTCTCTGTACTTTTTTCACCGAAGCGAAATGATAAATTATATATATATATATATATATATATATATATATATATATATATATATATATATATATATATATATATATATATAAGGGTGGGCTTGGTCTAACCAGCAAATCTACACATCTACAACAAACAGGCATACTTAGAAAAAGCGGAACAAATGACAACTGAAAACAGCACCATGAATGACACATGAATAAACTGGCGCCAACGACAACGAGAAAAAAACGAAAGTAGACAACGCTTAAAGAGTATAAAATCTTATCTTTAATTCATCAAATTATATAAAGGTCAATAACACGAAGCTAATGATCATAACAGTAATGTACAATATATAAATATAAACAAAAACAACAGTGAAAAAAGCTCCCACCCTCCTTGCTGTTCACACACCCACACACAACATACATTAATACGCAATCATAGACACAAAGAAGCAGATAAAATGAACTCCTTTTAGTAAAAGTGAGATGAGAAACAGTAGGACTATTATACTTAGTTATGGTAGTAGTGGTACTATAATTCTCCGAAGCCACTAATACTTAACTACATTTATCTTTATCCTATTTATATAGAACTATTATCTTTTTTGTACCAATTATTGTGTAAGACAATAACGAGTATTAGAAAAACAAAGGGAATTCAGTAAAGCATACAGAAAATACCATAATGAAAAGTTCACATTATTCCTTCCTACAACAGAATCGGTAATAAGCAGATGAGAAAGAAAAAGAAATCCAGTCTAATATGTATTATATAAAATCATGCACAAATACATGGGTAAACACTACACTGACGAGTTCAAAATATTAAAAAAATGGTATATAAACATATTCGCCTGGTGAACATCATCATGCATCTGTTCACATTAAAACAAATGAATGAAAGTCAAATCCGAAAATTATGATGTATATATATATATATATATATATATATATATATATATACCGAACTGTTTGAAGCAGATAAAATTATGTGTGTATATAAATTTTTGGTAGTAATGAAGTTATATATGGGAAAAATATGTTATGAGAAATCTTCAGTAATAATTAATAAAAATATATCTATCCATAGTAATGATGTATACCGACAGATGAAATGTTCAGATAACAATTTACGAAAATAAAACTTTACGTAGTGTCAAACGTTATCAAAGGTCAAAATAGTCAGCAAATGAACAAGAATGTATTTATAATAAATATTAATTATTTGAATAGGTTAGTTTCATAACGAACCGATATTAGCTGAAGAACAACTACCGACAATTATGGAGCAATGAATAACTGTTCTCTTTATATCACTTATCCCTCAGAAACATGAGTCCGTATCTCCAAAATGGATCACTTTTAGTTTTGCGGCCAAAACCGAATTAACTCACAAGTTAACACAATCACTTTAGCATACATTATGCAGAGAGCAAGATAAAACAGAGAAAGAGGGCGAATTCAATACCATCTAAAAAAATAAATTGCATTGAATATGACGGATACCATACACTGGATGAAGTAGATTCCCCCTCCAATAACGTAAACACGAATATAAACTAATTGTAAAATGATATAACATGTCATCGCTTATATCAAAGGATGAAGATAACCGCGGACATGGATATAATTAGAAAAAAGTCAAAATTCTGGGAACATGGTATTCACGTCAATTTGCAATCAAGAGGTAACATTGACAAACTTTATTAACCAATCTTTAGGGTAAAGGTTACACAGTCACCTGTTCATGAGCCAATCAAACCAGGATATCAACAGAAAAAGAAAGAAAAATGAGACCAGTAATAATTGTGAAGACATATAATGAAACACTATGTCACCAGAACAAGCTGATTTAACACTTGTGAAATAATTAAATAGTTTATGTGTACTTGAAGTAAACAGTGATTCTGTTTGGGACAGTGATGAGAGCATTCCAATTACATTTCTAAGCTCAGTGAGTAAAACGTGATTAATACCACCCAACTTTAGTATGAATTTATTTCCTTTTAAATTATTCGTACACAGCTAGAAAGCTTTTCAACTGTACTAATAATCACATACTATAGGTGGGCCTGAGTCATTTGTTATTTAAGTT